GCTTAAGTGCCCGCCTGGCAAGCACAAGGTCCTGAGTTTGTTCTCCACTAATGCAAGAAAAAAACAAAACAAAACAAAAAAACCCAGAACTAGGAAAGAAACTGGGGTAAAATTTATTCTAAAAACGTTTTGCAACAACAGAAAAAAGCTTTATGCTCTTAGAAGCATCTTCAACACATTCTTTGCCTCAATCTGACCTTTATCTGAATGTTTTGAAAACCTATACAGTGGGCTAGGCTTGGCCTGCCTGGCCAAGTGCAAGGTAATGAATTCAATCCCCTGTACTGCAAAATAAATAAGTAAATAAATAAATAAATAAATAAAGGCCGGTGAGATAGCCCAGCAGTCTAAAACGCCTACGTAGGCAAGCTTAGGCAACCACAGGGACCAGTTTGATCCCAGCACAACATGCCATGCCAGCCCCACCCTAAAGGCGGGCTGAGCTAGCCACAAAAATCAATCAATTGCTCAATCAATCAATCAATCAATCAATCTACACCTGTTATTCTACCTTACAGTAATTATTACGGTATTAAATGCTTCTACCCTCTTTTCAGTAAGCATTCTAAAGTTCAGTATTTAAAAGGCCTACTTTAAATTCTACTCTATGGCAAAACAGAAGAATTCCCCCATGTCCTTGACTTAAGTATTTTAAGAAGGATGTAACTGGTTTTGGTTCCTAACATTCAAGAAATAAGTTTAGATAAAGGCGGATCATTCTAGTCACAGAACCTATATAAATCATCTATACATTGAACTGAATGCAAGACTAGGGCTCTCCCTACTGACAGCATTCAGGGGCAAGGGTTTTCAATTCATAACACAGAATTGATATGAAATGTGCTACACTGCCTATTAAAAGCCCAAGTATGTTTAATGAGAATACCGTTATCTACAGTGGTCCTCCTTTCAGTTTTTTCCACAATTCTGGTCAAAGCCAAACTGGACAACAACCAAAACAAATTCAATGGTTAGATTCAATTTTGACCTTATGGGGAAATCCACTTTGGTGGTGTTTTTTATTTTTTTATTTTATGTATTTGGTACAGGGTTTCACTACACAGCTCAGACTAGTACTGATCCTCCTGTTTCAGCTTCACCCGCACTGAGATTACAAGTGTGCCTGGTGTTGGTGGCTGGCTCAGGCATGCCAAGGGCAGGACTGGCATGGGCATATGGGGGGGGATCGAACAGGGTCCTTCTGCTTGCCTAGGTAGGCAATTAGACCACTGAGCTGAGCTATCTCCATGGCCCTCCAATATGGTTCTTGTTCAATTTAGTTTGTAACAAGAATCATTGAAAGGATTAAGTTCATGAACCAAGGTACCACTACATAATGTGGTAATTATTAAAAGAGACTATAATCTCACCTTCTAAAAAAAGTACTTCCTGTTTACTTGTTTCAAATATATACAATCTTAACTACAAAAAGGTGAGTTAAAATCGTCAGCGTTATCTGTACTACCACTTAAGCCTTTGCTATCTGCAATAAAAGTACAGTTTTAGAGTAACTCAATGTAGTTCTCTCAGATGTATTAGTTTTAAGGAATATCTAACTTCCTCCATTTGGTCCTTCTCTAAATAATTCAGATGACTGCCTTGTCAGTCAACAGATCAAAGAGCCACCATAGTCAAAATTATCTAATTAAACACAAAGATTTTAGCCAGGGAGATAGCTCAGTGGCATAAGCAATGCCTGGCAAACACCAAGGTCCCGAGTTTGATCACCAACATCAACGCTCCCCCCACACCTCCCATAATGATTCCTCTAAAGAAATTATTATGCAAGTTAGTCCACAGAAACAATTGAACTATCATACCAGGTAAAACATGGCTAAGAATTTAATGTGGACCAGCCAGA